TTTATAGATAATCTTCGCATGTTGTGGTGTGTGCGTGTATGAGTGTGTGTGTGTGTGTGTGTGTGTGTGTGTGTGTGATGCTCTTTCTTTAACCCAGAAATAATTAGGTTTAGGACCTACCCCACACTGGCACCCCCTCATGGTAAAGTGCATGTACAAGGGCAAGCTGAAGCACATTGCCCAAAATAAAATAATTCAAGACAAACGTGTGTTTAAACAAAAATATGCAAATGTGAAGCTATTGTTTCTCAGCAGATCTTCCATCTGGGTCTATACATTTCTGAAGAAGATATTTCTGTCTCCAGAACCCTTCCCTGAGGAATCCCGTAGTCTGCATTTCACACCACGCACGCCAACGTGGCAGCGGTGGCATCCACGGGCGTCTCGACTCACGTTCCCTTGAGATGTTCTTTGAGTTTGGGGCACGAAAAGAAGTCGGAAGGGGACAATATCAGGGCTTCAGGGTGAAGGGGGTAAAGTCTCCCAATGAAATTCTCACAGGACAGCCCTTGCCACCCTGGGAGAATAAGCAGGTTCCTTGTGGCAATAGAAAAACAACATTCCCAGGCATCAGGTTCCCGGATGTTTTTCTCACCGACGTAGTGTTCGATTTCCCTAAAACTTCTTCCTAATAAGCTCCTGTGATCATAGCTCCTTGGAGAAAAATCTATGGAGGCTTTTACATCCCACTGATGGACAGACACAATTCCACCCATAGCAGACTCTGACTTATCACTTTAGGAACACAGTTCCGTCTAGACCTCGGCGCTTCCTGAACTCCTCTTCTCTGCATTGCACGTCTCACGTGGTGAGGTCGCCTCCTTTGTCCTCTTGTGACTCCTAGCAGCTCCAGTTCTCCCAGGATACACCCCCGGGGACTTCCTCCTCCACCCTCTCCACCCCCCAGGCAGCCTTCTGGGGCATGCTCACTCCCAGACAGCTTCCTGGCTGTCAAGCTCAGCCTCTAGCTTCTGTGTGCGTTCTCTCCCCAGCACTGGCGGCTCCAACCAGCTGCTCATGTTTAAGCTTCCCCCTGATACCCAAGTCCCTCTTCCCACACCGGGCAGTACTATCTCCCAGACCTGCGGGTCAGGAACTGTGTTCATCTGGGTGGACTAGACAAACAAACTCAGAGACCCTCGTATGTGTATAAGAAAGAGTTTTATATCAAAGAGCAATTGGATATTGAGGAAAACATTCCAACCCAGTCCAGATCAAGTCCATAAGTCCGATAGTAGCCCATATATCCAATACCAGTCTGTAAATTTCTCTTCAGACTCACATAGCACTTGCAATGATGCCAAACGCAGGAAGATCACAGGCCAGTGGTGGAGAGTCTTGTGGGTCCAGTGGCAGTGGAAGCATCTCCGTGCTGGTGTGGGTCTCCAGGTGGATCCTCCAGCTCCAGGACTCCAGCGTAGCTCCAGCATAGCTTGTCAACAGGAATGCCTTGCAAGGAGAGGGTGTGTCCTGCTTCCAGTGAGCTATTTATCTCTCTAGCACCTCCAAATGAGGTCATCAAGCTGCAACCTGATTGACAGGCTAAACTCCACCCCTTTGCTCTTCATAGTCTCAAGTTGACACCCGATGATGTAACTCCCACAGGCACCAAGCAGTGACACCCTGACTCTTTCTTTCTTTTGCTTTTGCTTTCTTTCTTTCATTGTTTTTCTTTCCTTCTCTCTCTTTCTTTTACAGTAGTAAAAAATATATATACCAAGCATTCACCAGTCCCAGCACTCCCGCATTTACAAGTCAATGACACTGATTATCTGCTTCACGGTGTGCCACCACTGCTGTTTGGATCTGACTCTGGGTGATCTCACACATAACTCACTGAGACACCGGCCCGGTCAGGCTCGGTCCCCACAATCCTCCTGATGTTTGCTGCTGCAGCCGCTGTGCCCACCCGCCCCTACGGCGTCTTGTCTCCTTTCTGAAATCGTTCCTCCACCACCACAAGTAAACATTCCCAAGAAGACAGGAGAACAACGGTGTCAGGTCGATTCTAACTCAGAGCCTCTCTAGAGGACAGAGCATAAAGCGCTCCGTGGGGCTTTCCAAGGCTGGGATCTTTAGGGAAAGCAGATGGCTCCGTCTTTGTGCCTTGAGGTGGTAGTTGGATTCAAACCACAGACCTTTCTGTGAGTGGCAGAGCGCTTAAACACGGCGCCACCAGGGATCCCCGTGTATGGAGTCCAGGTGCTAGGCATGGGCCGACTAAGCCGGCAGTGCTCTCTCCTCCAACTCTCCCAGGCGTTCTGCTATAGGAATCACTCTAGGAGAGCTGCAGTCTTAACGCAGTCCTCAGTCAGGGCCCTCCCTTACCTTCCATCAGAAGCAGCTGTTCAGAAGGGCTTCCTGAAGGAGGAGGCATTGCGGCCTCTCCCTCTGGCTGCTCCTTCCCAGCCTCTCAGTGGGTCCCTCTCCCTCCACCTGCCCCTTTCCCCCACTGCTGCTGAGCAGCGTCTGTCGAGACCAGAGCCGGCAACCCAGCCAATTCCAACCCACGGGCAGGCTTTATTTGGCCCACACGGTCTTTTTGGTTTTTTTTAATCTGAATTAGTTTTAACATTTAAACGCCAAGGGATTTTGCTTTTAAAAATATCCAGAGTTCTGCATCCTCTTGGGAGATTGCAACATCTGGCCCGGCCGGGTCCCTGGGCGAGCATTGGTGGAGGTACAGCCCCCGTGTGTGCTCAGCCATCCTCCCCGCTCCAATCCACCAGAAGGCGAGCCTGCACCTCCAGTCCCGAATTAACACCCAGGGAGCTGGAGGTGACATTGGGATGGCATTAGGCCAAGAGCCCTAGACACACCGCTCCATCATGACCCCAGCCTAGAGACACCCCTGTCCACCATGACTCCACCCTAGAGACACCCCTGTCCACCATGACCCCACCCTAAAAACAACCCTTTCCACCATGACCCCACCCTAGAGACACCCCTGTCCACTATGACCCCACCCTAGAGACACCCCTGTCCACCATGACCCCACCCTAAAAACACCCCTGTCCACCATGACCCCACCCTAGAAATCACTGCCATTATCTTAATCACTGCGATTGTCATCCTCACAGACACCATCAAGAGCTTCACTATTATCATTACCTTCACCGCCATCCTCACCATCACCAACAGAATCACCAGCATCCTATCATCATCCCCATCCCCATCATCACAATCTTCATCACCATGCTCACATGACCATCACCACTGTCACCATCCCCATCCCCATCAGAATCACTAACATCCCATCCCCATCACCAGAACCTTCATCACCACCATCCCCATCACCACTATTATCATTGCTTTTCTTCCCTCCAACAACTCCCCTCCAGCTCCTTCTCACCAATCGGCGTCGAAATATCAGGATACCCTATAGGTGGGGCAGTAATCTCTTGCCCTCCCTCCCACCTATCTCAGTCCTCTCAGGGGAGGCCAGGTCTGAAGACCCCACACGATAGAACCCTGCTTCACAAAAAGGGGAGACCTTTGAGATGGGAAGCTTAGTTTTACCTTCAATCCTGACTGCCTGGGCGGCGATTCCATTGTGTCCAGGCTCTCTCCCAGAGTGTCTATCAATGTGGTACCAGGGAGGGGCTGTGAGACTGGGCACAGGCCATGGCTGAGGGGCTGCTTGACAAACAGGACGGGGAATGGCATTGAGCAGGAATGTCCTTGTGCAAATCCTTCATCTATTTGGAGAGGTTCTTCAACACACGGGGGGCATCCTTACAAACTTGTAGATGAGTAAGATCCTTATGCAGTGGGAGGGCCTTTGTGCCCCGAGGAGGGGTCCTTATGCAGAAATGAGAGGTCCTCATACGGATTTTTTTTAACAGACAATTTTTAGAGACATTTTGGGTTCAAAGTAAAATTATAACAAAAAAGTACAGGGACTGCTCATGTAGCTCCCCACACACCACCACCACCCCCCCACTACACATTCTTCCTATTCTTTCTATCCAATAGCCAGCTCACATTCTTATTATCTAACATTCCTGTGACCTCATTGTTAAATTATGTTGCAATATGCACCCATGCGGATACATATTAGTAACTAGAGTCTATGTGTTACATCAAAGAACAGTTCACTCAACTGTGGGTCTCACTGACTTTGGACACTGGCTCTGTATCCAGAGTATGACATTTCCATGTGACCTCAAAGTTTCATGGCCTAAAAAGAAATACCCTGTGTGCTCACCATTCAGGCCTCTCCATCCTTCCATGGGCAGGTGGGCTCGCTCTACAGTCAGGAACGAAGGTTCGTGTGTAGAAGTTGTGTTCTTATACGGGCTTTTGAGAGGATGTGGGTGGCTGGGGGCTTTCATCAATTGGAGATGTGTGTTTTACAGAGGAGAGCGGCAGAAGAGAGGGGTGTTCATTTTGTTTTGTTCTTGTGATGAACATGTGACCGCTAAGAC